AACAAAATTTATTTTTTACGGTTCAGGGACAAAAAAACAGTTCAAAAGACTTAAAATATTCAAAATTAAAAATTTGGAAACTAAAAATTGACACTTAACCTTATATGAAATTATTCATGCTCATTCTAACTTCACATGCCTAATACGACCAGAACTTTGACTTAATAAACTTGATTTGTTTGTTTGGATGGTTAGAATGTTCTTATCAGTTTTGATATCTTAGATTAATCTCTTCTTTAATAATTAATCTCTTGTTTAATTTAAGAGAATCAAAACCAAGGGCCATCCATTTCTTTTCCTCCGCTCCTCTCATTTGATTAGATTAAAATATAAAATAAATTAAAGTACGTTAAGGTAGAAACCTCTCCTCTCTAATTCTTTATTTTATCCATATAGGAAAATTTCTCTCCCTACCCCTCCCCTCAAATTAAAAAAATTATTACTTATTTGGTTGGAAGGAAAAAGAGAGGAGAAGTTTTTCCTTACTTAATTTACTTTTATATATTTTAATCTAATCAAATAAGAGAAGAAGAAGAGAGAAAAATAAAAAGATATTTTTTTCTCAAATTGAAAATTTTCAAAGCTGCACACTTTTTATATTAACTTGATACATTAATAATATTAAATTCTATTGAGTCATGATGACCTTAAAACTCAAACCCAAAACTTAACCTTCAAGACTACGTTTGTTTCCAATAGATACAGACGTTAGCTTAATTACCTGATAAACTTGATTTAAAAATAAATTTGAAGAATTAGTTTTCTATAAGGAACAAAGAGAGAATCATGTTAAACATATAGAGGGCTACCTCTGCTGTGCTGACTTTAATGTATAGAATATTAGTTGCAGGGCTACTTGCATAATTATAATTAATTAAAGATAACGAACAAGAACATTGGTTTCTTGACTGATCTTATTCTTTTCATCAATTATCCTAATTGCATTTCCAAGAATCTCATAAACAATTAGCGAAAATTCGACAGATTAACAGCTCAGACACAAGATGCATGTATATGGAGTATATACAACATTCAAATCTATGTCGGAAATCGATCTTGACGAGAAAATTTACATTTTCCTAGAAGCCAAACGAGGGGACTCTTAGCACGATGCAAGCATTGTTACCAGCATAGTTAACCTAACTAAGTGTGATTAATTCTTTAATAAAAAAATATTTTTAAGAGTTTCAAAACTAACATTCTTGTCATATTTGCTAATAACAATGATTTTACTAACAACATTTCTTTAGCAATAATATTCAAATGTTATCAAATGAATAAATGCATATTGATTTAGATATTTTATTTTATTAAGTGTAAAAATTCAATAAAAATTACATGTTGCCGACAGTTAGACATTGTGAATGAATCATTTTCATTTCGATAATCCTCCTATCTCAACAATGTCGGTGGATTCTTCGGTAAAGGAAACCTTTCCTTGTTGTTTTATGAATGTTACTCTATCGTCAAAGCAGCATTTATACCTAAAGTGAAGTCATTGTCATGGTAGTTACACGATAAGAAGTGTCGAAATTGCAATGGAAAAAATACAATAAGATTACATCAACTTTTATAATTGTCAAGAAAACCATTGGAAAAACTAGAATAAATTGATTAGTGGTCCCAAAATGGGATTTTTATTATATGTGGTGTTCAAAATAAAAGCTTTTATGGAAAAAGAAATTCTGCAAACATCAAAACAGCCTTTTCTTTTGACTCAATTAGTCTGTTCCATTTCCCCGTTGATGCTCATTAAAAAAAATAAGGGTCCTTGTGCATGAACCTACATATCTCTTTTTTCACCACTGGAAATAATTATTCTCCCCTTCATAGTCAAATTTAAGATTTTTACTGAAGATATTAATTAAAATTTATTGGCAGCGCCTCTGACATTGCTTTAAAAGAGACAGATTTTTTTAAAATGATAATTAATTGTTTGGGCATTACAAATATTAGTTTAACTACAATGCTATAATTATAATATTATATAAAATTATAAATTTATAATAATAATATATTATTAAATGAGTTGATATATACAATATTATAAGTGAACCCCTAAGTAAAATGAGCCTGAACAAAATGAGTAAATTATATAATAATACATCATATTATACACTTACAATGTCAAATAATATTGTAATTATAGTATTTTCGTTAATTTAAACCTTTAACTTTGATTATAAATTAAAATTTTTAAATTAGTAATTATTAATATTTTTATAGGTTAAAAGAGAGAAAATTATAAATTAAAGGAAAATGAGGTTGCATTAGCAGCTGAAGGAAATCATTGTGCTCGAAAGGAGAAAGGATAAAAAGTTCTTTTGGGCTTCCAAATCTATCATCTATGTTTGTACAGAACTCGACTAAATGGACAATGCCCATAAATGGCTATGTTAATCTCATGGGATAAAAGATGTCCTTTGGAAAGATGAATAATCGACAAACAAACCCTTCAAAGTGTGAGGTAGGTTAGGAGGTGGAAAAAGATTATCTCCTATTGTATCACTC